GGAGTTTCCTCTACGCACGCGCTCGCTTCCCCACATGGCCTAAGAGTAGGGGCAGTTGCGACCCCTACCGGCGGCTGCCTTTTGACTCTTGGGCAGCCCAAGGGGTGTGGTGTGGGAGTTTCCTCTATACTTGGGACAATATTTTATGATATGGGCAGGGTCACCACAATAAATGCACTGCCCCTGCTCCATCCGTTGTTGCCATACATTCTGGTCCAGACCCAGATCCTCCCAGGGTCGGCCTTGCGGCCAACCTGGGTGCCAACCTCCTGACCTTTGAGGTGATCTGCCACCTCGTCGCTGTGCGGACCGACTGGGACCTTGACGATTCGGCGGGGGACCTTGACCCCTACCTCCGGCTTGACGGTTCCCTTGACTGCCAACCCCCTGTGTGCCYGATCCTCGGCCTCCCATGGCCTGGCCCCTTTGGCCCTGGCCTCCTCCTCTACCTTGCGGCCTCCCTCCAACCGCAACAGCAGCATAGGACCTCCCCTGCCCCACGCTACTGTCCTCCTCCTCGAGGCCCCACTCAATCTGATTGTACGGGACCTCGTCAGTACCACCTTCCTCTAACATGAGGATCATACGATCCTTGGCCCTAACCTTACCTGAGATGGTACGCCCTTTCCACTTCTTTCCCTTATCTAAGTCCTTATGCCAGAAAGTGGAAATTGGCATGGACTTGGCCTCAAACAAGACCACCTCCCTACCCAATACATCGTATGTGATGTTGGGCTGTTGGGTCTTGTCAAAAAAGTGCCCTCGTAAGGGCTCTGGCATGGCACGATAAAACAGTTGAACCAACTGGGTCTCAGTGAGTCCGGGACGGCTACCAAGTCGTCCATGACAGCTTTGAGTGCCCTCACACTCCTCCACTGTCGCGAATGGATGGTCTATAGCTTGTAAGAGACCCTGAGGCCTCTAGTGACATCCGCAAACCTCTCACACAGGAGTTCGAGGAAAATAGCGAGGGAGAGTATGCAATCATGTTGTGCTCGCAATCTGCGGCACGTGCGAGAGACCAGGCGAAGCTGGCTGCTTCGTCTTTCAATGCGTGGAAGGCGACGAGGACTTGCTCCTCGGGGGCAATATGTTGTAGAAAGACATAGGTGTTTATGCTGGCCTCCCAGTCATCGAAATTCTCCTCCTTCTTCCGGTTATATGGGTCAAGGAACTTCAACTTGACTGGCTCTTTGCGGGGGCGAGCCAACTTTGGCGGTCTCAATGGCTCCAGCGCAGAACTTGTCTACGCCATCCCGCAGTCTTCTAATCTCAGCCCCGACGTGGCCCACCACGTCACTCGCAAACTCCCTAAACCCAGATCATCGCTTGCAGAGTCACATCTTGGCCCTTACGGGCCTGGTGCTCTTCTAGCCAGGCCTCGCTCAAAATTTCCAGAAAGCCCATCACCTTATCCAATTTAGCAGAGACCTCTGTTCGGGCTTGCAATTCTTGCCTGCCGGTTCGTACACGCTCAACCTAACCGGCTATTCTACTGGCTTCCTCCCTCCTCTTCTTTTCCCTCATCATTTTCAGCTTCCACTCCAACCTCTTTTCATCTTCTGTTTCCTGGCGTTCCAGGGGGTCCTCTATCATCTCCGGTGCCTTGGCAAACGCCTCCCTCTCCTCCTGCGGCACGTACAACTGTGCCTCTTCATCTTCTCCCAAAGATAGATTAGCTACCCATTCGCTTATCTTCTTCTCCCTCCATCTGTCATCCTCCTTCGTGCCACTGACTTCCCCTCTCTCCTCTCTGCGTCTTCTCTCAAGGGGTTCTTCTTTTTCTTCTTCCTCCTCTCTTGCTGCCTCTTCCTCTGCAGCCTTCACGCTTTCTTCCTTCTCTCTCTCTCTATCAGCATCAACTTATCCCTTTGAATTCTCATCATCTCCTCCTCCAATTTTTGCTTCTTCGCCGCCTCCTCCTCCTCAATGACTTTTAACTTCGCCTGCTTCAGGACTTCCCTCTTCTCTTTCTTTTCTCTCAAAAGGGCGGCGATCCGGGCCTGCTCGGCCTCGGAGGGGGCAATACTCTTCCCAGTACGAGTGTCAACCATGGTGGAAGGTGCACAACCAGGCAATCGGTTCCACTCCTCACCACTTAGACTGTACTCCCCCTGACTGACTCACCTACTGACTCAATCTAAGACTTACAGAATCCGAACAGGATCCTGTCAACTATGGTCACTAGCCTGGACCTACTCTAAGGTTGTCACTACTAGACCTGTTGCTGATCAGGAGGCATTTAAGGAGATCCCCCGTAACTCCTCAGGAATTCTTTAACGTCGCGGACAGGACGACGTGATCAGTAGGTCTGTCAACACTTAGACTGCCTGTTGTGTAGCCCACAACTCAGCTTTTCGGGCCTACCGTGCCACACCGAGCAGCCCGCCGGTCTGTACCGGTCCTTGGGAGGGTTCGTGTCCTCTGGGACAGTCGAGTCGTCAGACACAGTCTTTAGCCCTACTTAGTCCGGCAGGGGTTTGGTCAACGAGGCCCTATCCTTCATCCACAGAGTTCCTACACCTAGACAGAAGAGACTCAATACAGAAAGAAGAGATAGACAGACTTGACTCAGCAAGTACCACAGGGTGTGTGCACATCCATAGGGCGAGGGGACAGGCTGAAGGCTTGGCGAGATGATACCGTCTCCAGCTTGGTCAAAATTGTGGTCAACGGTCTTGGTCAACACCCTGGTCAACGCTCGGTCAACGCTGCAGTCAACCCTTGGTCAACCCCCGGTCAACTCTGGTCAACGCCGGTCAACACCTGGTCAACTCTCCCGGTCAACTCCTCCGGTCGGCTATGGCTGCCGGCTTCTCCTTCCTCACCACCCTTCTCCTTCCTTTCTCCTTCCTCGCCACCTTTCTCTTCACCCCGGCTGTCTTCTTTCTCTTTTTTTTTTTTTTTGTTTCTCTCCCTTCTCCTCCTCGGCTATGGCTTCTTTCACCTTCCTCAGTCTCCTTCTTCGCCTTCTCTTTCAACCTCCTTCGTTCTCTGTGGTCGAGCTGCGCGGCTATGGCCGCCTCTCACTTCATGGGACTCACTGCACACTTCACAGGTAAGTGACAACCAAACTTGTATTGCTCATCTCTCTCCTCTCCGTCTCCCTCTCTCTATCGCCGTAGCGATGTCTTCAACGCAGAAACGTGGTAAGCCAATCTTGTATCGCTCAACCTTTCTCTCTCCCTCTCTCTCTCTCTCTCTTTCTCTTTCTCTCTCGGTCTTCTTCTTCGTCGTGGTCTTCTCTGCAGGTGCGCGTGGCGGCTTCTTCAACCTCGGCGTCCGCTATGGCGGACTTCTTCTTCGTCGGCCACTTCGCTATGGCGCATCACTCTCCCTGCGACACACAACGCGGCGCGTGGAATAGCGGGTACCAGCTTCGATACCCAATGCAATCAGACTCGCTTTCATTCACACTTTGCATGCATGCAAACAGTAGCGCAGCAAACTGGCGACATGCGCCCACTCGGTACTCAGAGATATGGCAACCCAGATACGAGTTCACTTCCAATGGCTATGGCGATATAGCGCCCATACAACTCTCTGTTCGCATACAGTGGATCACCCTGGATATCCCACACACATCACTCTGTTCACTCCCACACACACACACTGAACACCAGCTACAGCTATGGCGGCTATGGCCGCCGCTACCCTATCACTATGGCTAAGCTTCGTCTTCTCTGCCCACTTCGTCTTCGGGCTCACTGCAGACCACCTCGCACAAGTCGCTGTGGCAGCACTTCCGCATAGCTCATGCAGGAATGAATGAATGGCTGGGCGCTGCCTCTTGATTTATACTTCTGCAGTGTGTTGGTCTGGCCCCTTTCCCAGGCCCGAAGTGTACACAGTCCCATGCGGTACTTGCTTGACTGGACCAGGACTGCTGACTCAACACGGGCAGACCTGCCCACTTGCCTCGCCACTTGCCCACTTGCCTTAGCCTAAGCGTGGGACACTCCGAAAGGCCACTACTCAGACCTTCCGGAAGGGCGTGGACTTGGCCTTTCGGTACTGTAGCAGCTATGACTTTGACCCTTCTGGACTGTAGCAGCTACGACCCTGACTCTTCGAGAAGACTACAGCTACGATCCTGACTCTTCGAGAAGACTACAGCTACGATCCTGACTCTTCGAGAAGACTACAGCTACGACCTCTAGACCTGACTGGAACTTCTATCCGACAGGTCTACAGATCGAACCCATGCTACCTATGGACCCTATGACAACCTATCAACTGTTACAAATACACAGGTCGCGGGTTCAACTCTAGGGGTCGACACAGGTTCTGTACACAGGTAAGGTGGGGGACTAGGGATCGAGCCCTGGGCTCTGCATCAGCTACTGCGAACTGGTTAATATTGTTTCATGTACAGTTCCTAATTGCCTACCATAGTGGTAGGATCTTTTCGGCTGGTAGTTTTAGGCTTTTCTTTTGGCAGGCGGATGCTGTTGGCGTAGGCAATTAGCTGCTCCTCAAAAGTGACGAGTCGGGGCAAAACCCTTCAGAATTCATTCGTCATATTTTTGCTGCTTGGTGAGACGAGAGAGGTGCTACTTTCAGTCCTGCTCAAGGAGAGAGAGAGAGTGAAGCCATAGCCATGAGAACCTGCTGTTCACTGGACGGTTTCTCGAGGCGATTGTTGCATGTTGCTCAGGGAGGCCGGGCCTTCAATTATCCATCACCTTTTTCTGGTCTCATCAACTGTTTTGTATGTGACTATTCAATTCCAAGTTTCTGTGGTGTTGAAGTCAAGTGGACGATGAGCGGAAGTGCTTGAGATTTTGGAAATTCGTAACAGATTACTTAGGTGGCAAATCTTGCCCTTGTTTAAAATGGAGGTGTGTTTTTCTGTTGCTGCGCTCATGATTGGGCTACCATGAATGCATTTGACCAAGGTTGCGACCACGTTCATCCTACACAGCCCCCTTGGTCCTGAAGAAGATGCCACATCATCCCTGTGGACTGACAGGCAACTGACACGTTGCGTTGTGTTGCAGACAGGGGAGATGTCCCCAAAGGAAGCCCTGAAGTGTTTTTTCGTAAAGTGAAATTCTGGAAGGGTGATTTGGGAGAAGCACCTCCTGTTTTTGTAAGTATCCCGACCCCTCTTCTGCTTACCAGCCCCTTCAATGAGATGCGAAGCGCCTGCTCTTTCAAGCGGAGTAACTGTCAACCTTGCTCCTTACCTCTGCAAGGCACCTGCAATGCCCTCAGTCTTATCCCATGATCTCCTTCACCTCCATTCTCTCCTTCTTGCGACCAGCCCCCTTCTCTACCCTTGTCCTTACCCGTGTAGACACCTGCAATTCACATAACCGCATCCATTGTCTCCTTCACCTCCATTCTCTCCTGCTCCGATTCACTTTCTTCGCTCTCCACCTCCCTGTTGTCCCCTCCCCCGGCAGGACCCCCCTTTTCATCATTCTGAAATCCCTGTTTACTGGAACCCGGGTGGACCTTTTTGGGGTCCTGGGCGGCATGGATCGTAACCTTGGCACAAAGCGTTACAAACTCGTCTTTTTAACATTGACACCGGCATATGATGGCAACAACCAGCACGTTTGTATGTCTCATGTGAAAAGGCAGCAATGATAGAAAAGATAGTGCGGAAAAGAAAACACGTTTTTTCTCGATCGGTCATGTGTTAATGGAGTAGTTGGGTAGCAGGCTAGCTCATGCAAGATGACTCTTCAGCTTGGCTGTTGAGCATGGCTGTGCAGGGTGGTTTATGGAGGATGGCTATAAAGGAAGTTGGTAAATAAAAGCATATGCCTCAGAGAAGATGTAAAAAAGAGAGACGAGGTCGCAAGATGTCTGAACGAACGAGAGTCTGGGACCGAATCCGTGCATCATGAATGCAAGAGGTTGGTTTTCTCCACTGTCTCTCTTTTAAATTCATACTGGCCGGTAATAAGTAACCCGGCTGACGCCCCTCAGAATAGAAGGGCCTTGAGTGTTTTGAAAAAAGAAAAGAAAAGAAAGAGGAGAACATGAAAACAAGAGAGACAGGTGGAAGAAAAATGGTGAAATCATAAAAGCAACACATACTCCAGTTGCATTCGGGGAAAAATGCCCCAAGTTTGTGCAAGTGTGAATCTGTAGGGGAGAAGATAGAGAGGCGGACAAAGCAAGATCGAAATAGAGTTAATATTAACTTATAAAACATCTGGACCACGGCTACTAACCCCCCTCCCCTCCCCCAAAACTTGCAGCCGAGTAAGTGCGGCAAATTGAAAGGGTTGGCCTACCGGACCCCAGCGGGTAAGGGGGGGGGGGGGGGGGGGCGCAAATTCCGACCTGCCTCATCAGGGAACGAAAAGGAAGAGAAGAAAAATGTTTTCGGTTGCGAAAAAATGTTGCACCAAATTTGTTGCAGACGCTGTAACCCGGTAGGCCTGTTGTTTCACTCTGGGCGGTCCGGTGGCTGTCGTTTTTTTTTGTCGTGTGACAAAAATATGTTCCACTTGTACTAGTGGTTCATTGTTTGAAAGAAAAGAAAAAGACAAATATTGAATATGAAATTAAAAGAAAGAAAATACACTGTTCGGAGCATAGTTGCGGCGCACATCGGTGCGCCGGTTTGCGCACGGTTTGTGCACGTCGCGCTGCGCACCGCACAGCGCACGAAGCGCAGCGCACTTGAAAAATTAGGTCCAAAAAAAAAAAAAAAAACGTAGGGGTTTTCTAATTTCTTAGGGCCCCCAACTCGGCAAAAATGTTAAACTCACCGCGCAAGTTCACAAACCAGCCGCGCCCACGGCCCGAACTTTTCTTTTGGGTAAGGGCTGCTGAAAATTCGATTTGCGCAGGCCCTCCCCCAAAAAGTTTCGAATGGCGAGGCACAAAATAGGGATCATTCCAACTTCTGTTTTAGGCGGGGTATGAGAGCTGTCCTTCCCGCTGCCTTCTGCCAATCCCACACAGTAGTGCGGTCAGTTCGCAAGAAGGGGTAGTCGCCTAATAACGACCTGCCCCGCGAAGCTTCGCAGAAGTCGCAAATTGCATGTTCTATCGCCAGCCGACCA